CCTCAAATAGGTTTTTTAAATCCCATTATTTTCTCTCAGTCTCATATTACACAAGTGAGAGCTGGTTCTAGACGTGGAGGACCATGTCCTCCATGTCCTCCATGTCACCAAAATAACCAGTGCATCTGAGAACACAATTAGAGAATTGAAACAAATTTGACTTGATTCAGGAGAGGAGTGGAAACACCCAAGGGATCTGCAATTATAGGCTTTCTCTTTGTTCTGTTTGTTTGTTTGTTTGTTTTAGTATCTACATTCCAGGTCCTTTTAGTTTGGGGATTTTATCACAATTAGTGCATTCCTAGATAGTTAAAGCTGCTCAGCATCTGGCTAAATGCCTTCTGAATCTATCCTGAAATCTGCCACCTATTCCAATTGCTCTTTTCAAGTCACAGCTCTGACGAGTAACCAGGGGACAAGAAATTCTCTCTAGGACTTGAGGACAGGCAAGTCCCATGCTTGGTGTTGCCTCATCCTAAAGATTAGTGCTCTGGCTTTCCAAATTTCAATTTGAAACCCTAAAGGAGGATTCTTTCAAAATCCAAGAAAAAAGAGATGTACAGTTATGCTTGTGCTTGTCTGCTTGCGTTACTATTGCAAGACATGACTGATTTTTTGAATAAAACCAACAGTTCCTTCTCTTCATAGAGTAGAGAGCAGGGTGTTGTGGAAGTAGAAAAAAAAATGCTTTTATGTGCTCAGAGGCAGACCACGATCCTCACAGGAAGAGAAGAAATGGAAGTTCAGTCCCTGCTTGGGGAGAAAGCAATAGCACAGGGACTCTCTGAGAGCAGAGTGCCATGCTTTTTGCTGCAGCCCAAGGCAGCAGAGATACCAAGGCACAGCACTTCAGAAATTATTTCTGATCTCCTTTGAGAAGATCATTCCAATCAATACATGGATTATTTCTGGATGCTTGGAGGATGCATAAACCCCCACCCACTGAGCCCTGCTTCCCAGCACCAGCAGCCTTTTTGTCAGCACTTTGCAACTGCCCAGAAAGAAAGAAAAAACAAAGAAAATGTGACAGAGCTCCCTCCAGTCCCTGTCTGCGTCTGCCCACAAGCTTCATCAACTGAGTTATGGTAATTACATCACTTGAGATTTATTTAATATCTCCATCTAGGAAAAAGAATCAAGAAGTCTGGCTGTGACAAGCAATCAGAGGGTACTCAGCTGATGAGCAGCTCCCCATCACTGAGAGAGCAGTAGGAATCTTCGATGAATTGGATTTAAGTAATGGTGTGCCAAAGGGACGGGGCTCACACCACAGCAATCAGAGCTCCTGTGCACCATTAAGGAGCTCTAAGTGGAGCAGGAAGCGCAGTGCAGCTATTGACCGAGTAGGTGGGCATGAAAATGGGTTTAGGTAACTGTTTGCTTTCTGAGAGATGGAAAACACAAAGGGATGTTTCTCTGGCAGCTTTCTGGTTCTCTGATCCTGGCAGTCCCTATCAACATTTATGTTGTTTATCTCTCACATACTCATGCACAATGACTGGTATGCTGTGTTCAAGCTGTTAGGCTTCAATCCACATAGTTTTCCTGCTTGCATTTACCCTCCTATGGTCTCTGACATTTCTTTTTTAATCTCTGACTTGACAACATTAAAAAAAAAAAAAGAATTTCTAATATGATTAGAATATCATACTTCCACATTAGACAGGTCAAGTATCACTGCTTGCTCCACCTACCTACCCTCTGCACCTCACTGAACTGAGTTACAGCTTATACAGAGAATTAAGCTTATACAGAGAATTAAGAATTCTTTCCTCTTTGTTGAGGTGGCAGCTAAGTGCCATTAGCCCACATTCTGCTCTAAAAGACCAGAGTTGGGATATCTGCCATGAGATCTGCATGAGCCTCTGCAGAGGCTCTCAACATGACCTTAACAGACCACAGTGTGGACAGCAGCAGATCTGGTGCTGAGGCCCAGCCTGGATGGGTGCTTTGTTGGATGCATGTCCTCTTTACTAAGCTCTCTACACTGTGCAGCTTACAGAATGAAAATACTTTATGGATTATTAATGCCATTGCTGCTATTAAGAATAAATAAGGGTTATAGAGAGCATCATGACAGAATCCTGGCCTTATTTGAAGGGAGGAAGAAAAGCATGGGAGTGGTCCCATTGAAGGGAAGATCTGTCAATAGCACAGAGAGCTAGAGGTTTGCAAAAGCTGGGCTGGACCATGCTTCTCTATGCTCTGTAACGCCCTGAACCAGAGGGGCACACTCACACCACTGGTCCCCACTCACTCACTCCTCTTCAGTAAGTTATAGAGCCCAAAGATTTCTCATTCCAAGACATTGCAGAGCTCAGGATGTCCCAGTCAGTAGCCAGTACATAAGCACCCAGGAAGAACCAACCAAAAGGAATCACTTCCCATTTTCAGCCCATACACCCATGTTTTTTTCTCGCTCTTTCGGTACCCGAGGAAGATAAGATAGTTTGCATTACCACTGATGCCTCCAGTATGCTTCCTCCCTGTGTTATCCTTGCAACTGTTGGTGGGCTCAAGAGACACAGGGCCAAAACCCTCAGAGACAGATTTTTTCTAAGAGGAGAAGGTGTTGCCCATTATTTACTCTACGTTGCTTCCCATGGAGCAAAGTGAGGCAGCCTGCATTGACCCACTGACAACTCCCTGCTTTCACTAGGATCTCACCAATGAGGCTTGGGCCAGCTCTTTCCAGTGTGCACATTTTAAGCAAGAGACCTCAATCCATAACAAGGACCTGAATGCAGCATCCAAGTGTGAAAACATTGGCCGCTGTCCCATTTACTGAAAGAGGAATATTAGTACCAGCTCACCTCTGGGAAGCATATGGAGCACCTCCGATTTATTATTTGTTTTATTTATTTTGTCACATTTATCAGCCATTCAACTCTCCGGGCACACAGCCCATACATTAAAACCCAGAGTATAATATAAAGATCTCCTCTATTGTGAGCACATCCTTTCTGAAAAACCAGGCATGGCCATGAGGGAAGGATGAAGGATGCATTACACATGCAAAATATGACAACAATATATTTTTCTCCAATTCTGTTATTGATGGAACCATTCTGAAAATGTTGGTGACATCAAAACAATAGGATGAGGGCAATAAAAAGCAGGAGGGTGGAAAGCCATGCTGGAGGTTGGGCATCTAGACAGCCTCTAATCAGTCTCTCTCATGCTCAGGAAGTCCCTAAAATGCTCTTACCATTATTATTTCTCTAATGACCTCATCAGACACACGTGAAATTCTGAGAAGCCTTAAATGTTGTAGAGATCCACAACGGCAAATCTGCCCAGTTTTTCTGAGAAACAGCAAGCTGCGATGATGAATGCTTTAACACTGCAGCATCTCGATGTGTAATTTATTTGCTGGAAATTAATTGCATATGCTGGTTTCATTTTTCTGTAGCAAATAATCAGTTTTGCTCCCTTTTTAATTAGGTAGCAACATAGATTCCTCTGCTGATCATGGCACAGTGGTTTACACATCACATCTTATTCTAAGGGAGACCATTTCAAATCATTGTTCAGGACCTACCACAACTTTTGGGTGGCATCACATTCTCTGTCAGCTCTAACTCCTGAGTCAGTACTGATGAAGACCCCATGCACCCACCATCTAGAGAACCCAATCTGGGTTTTGGTGGATGTTACACATCTGCCATATGGGAGCTGGAAGAAACTCTACAGAGAAAACAAATTAAGGATCCTGACATTTCAATGGTGTTGACGTGATGTCAGGCCCAGGCACTGCTTTGTTTCACCGAAAAGTGTGTCCCATGGGCAGTCCTTGTGCTGAGACACTGGATTGACATTAGCAGAACTTCATAGACTAGAAGCTTCCACATCATCTGTGCCATTAATGGGTTTGGTCCACATCAAACCAGCACCTTTGCCAACTGCAAAGGCTGGAGCAGCAGGACAAAGCCCCAGCTGAGAGCTCATTTTCCCCTTATATTTGGCAGCTGAACAGGGCTGTCTGGCACACAGGGCAGGACAAGGTGGGGAAAGCCACCTCTGCTGACATTTGCAGGAGAAAGCTAATGGACTGCAGCAGCTGCTACTTAAAATTTTCAAGTAGGCTGACGAGAATAAGAAACTATGAGGTTTGGCTGCTATTGGTTACTCTCAGCAATAATTTCTATCTTAATTAATTCTAATTAAGTGATAGTGTTCAGTCATATTTACCCTTTATTGGGCTACAAGGAGCCCATATTTCTACTGAAATATGCGCGACCGAAACAAAACAAATCTATCAGTGAACGAACGCTGCTGGGGTGAAATGAAAAATATTGATTATCATCGCTATTAAACCATGAAATCCTCCGCAACTAATTAATCTGCCAGGGAAAAAGTTTGTTAGCGGCATTCTGCTTCCTGCCGGCAACCTGACAAGCAGGAATCACCAAACACTCGATGGCTGCCACCTGCCCCTGAAAGTTTCCCCGTTCCTTAGCTCTCCGCAGCAGGCGGCGGGGAGGTGAAAAGCAGCCCGAAAACATGCCTGAGCGCTGAGGTTTGGCGCTCATCAGCTCTGCCCTGCTTCGCTGCCTTCCGGCTCCTCCGCGCCGCCGTGCCCGCCACCCTCCACGCCCGCCCTTTCCGCAGGGCTCGCTGCGGGGTCCCGGGCGTGCCCGGCCTCGGGGGCGCGCAGCGCGGTGCCGCCGTGCCCGCGCCTCTCCCCGCGCCCGCGCTCGGCGGAGCTGTCCGCGGCTCGTGGTGCTGAAGCCGCAGCGGCCGCCCAGCCCTTTCCTCCGCCCCCCTCCCTTCTTCCCCGGCGTGGGCTCTTGCAGGCAGCCGGCAGCCTGGGGCATCAAAGGCTGGGGAGGGCCCCATTCCTCCCTTTGATTTTCCCCCCCACCCCACCCCGCCTTTTTGCTTCTTCTACCTTTTCTTTTTTTTTTTTTTTTTTTTTTTTTTTTTTTTTTTTTTTTTTTTTTTTTAAAGCCGGGGGAGGGAGGAGAGCGCAGCCACGTTACACCCCTCCCTTCCTGCAAATCCCCGCTTGCACTGCAAACAATCTGCCTTCCCCATTGCATCCAAGGGAGATAGCAACAGCAACATCATCACTGCAAGCCGGATGGGAGCGCAGAGAGGAGGCTGCTGAGAGAGAAAGGCACACACGCACACACCAGCTCGATGTTGCCAAAGCGGCAGGAGCCGCACGAAAAATAAGCCATGCTGCTCGGTGTGTCTGGCGCATTGTGCTCTATCAGAGCCTTTTAGGAGGAAGAAGAGAATTACCCACACCGATTTTTTTTTCCTGCCTGCGAGAGTGCGACAGACTTGCGATGGTTGAATGTCAATGCCTATGAGAGAGAACAACAGTCAGAGGAGGAGGACAGAAGGGGAGGAAAATGAAGGTGGGGATGGTGGTGAAGAGAAAGAAGCACCCTCATCCAATGCATCAAAAGGAAGTCCCTGCAATTGCTGATAGAGCTCTGGCTGCCTCACCATCTACAATGGTCTGTACAAGCTGCCAATGCGTTTGATGACGTTCATGTTTTGTGAAAGGAGGAAAGGAAACGTGACCATGTAAGATCCACGTTTCTCCGGTCAATTACATGCGAAGAATAGGTCTGATTTCGACGGTTCTTTTTTTTTTTTTTTTTTTTTTTTTTTTGGTCCAGGATGGTAACTGCCTAGGGAATAATACAGCCGCCTTCCCTCACCAGTTTTGCTCTGATATTTTTAATTTTTTTTTTTAATTTAATTTTTGGTGTGGTCCAGACAGCTGCTGGAATAGAGAAGGTCAGAATATACAAATACGTATAATATATATATATGATATATATGATATATATTATATATATAAATATATTTATCTCAGTACATCTGAGATTAAGCTCATTGAATGCTAATTATTTCTTTCAGGACTTTTAATATTTACAGTGAAATCTTTTAAAGGCAACAGTACATTCTGATGCCACCTGGGAGTACAGTGTTGGAGACGTAGGGTGTTTTCCCATAAACAATGTGAAGGTCTTTTTGTTAAAGAGGCAATTTTGATATTAACAGCAGCTACCCATTTTGCATTTTGATAGCCAGATCGGCTGCTATTTTGTTCGGGTACACACCAGGTCTCGTGCGACTGAGTTTTATTTTATAATTGAAAAAAAAAAAAAAAGAAAAAGAAAAGAAAAGAAGAAAAGGAAAATTACTTGAGATGCCAAATACTGTCGAGAGGACCATATTCTCCCTCTTCCCCACACCCACTGGAGACGCGGACCCTTCTTTTTTACAGGCTTAGAGTCGCCGGAGCCGAGCTGGGCTCCCTCCGGAGCGCCGCACAGCACCGTGCCCGCGCCCCCAGACCCCGCGGCGTGGGAGATTTCTTCCCTCCTCCCGCTGATTTGCAAACAAACTTGTGGAATCCGCCCCGTCCGAGGGGGAGGGGGATAAAATCCCCCCGGAGAGTAGAGTGGGTTTCGGTTTTTTTTTATATTATTGCAAGATTTCAGCGGGCTGCCGGGGATCTCCCCCTTCTCGCCCTCTTTTGTCGTTTCTCGGCCGGCCAGCGCAGCCCCCCCGCAGCACTGAGGTCTCAGCAGAGCCCCCCGGCCGCGGGGCGCCCGGCTCCTGCCCTTTCTTTCCCACCTCATCCCCGCCTGTCAAGGAAAGGCACATGTTAATACCACCCGGCGCGGTCATTTTCTGTTACTGCTGCTGCGGGCTCCTCCGTCCGAGACAGATGTTGCGAAACCAAGGCCTCCTCAAGTGCCGCTGCCGCATGCTCTTCAATGACCTGAAGGTCTTCCTGCTGCGGAGACCCCCCGCGCCGCCGCCGCCCTCGCCGCCGCCGCCGCTTCCCATGCCCGGCGGCGCAGAGGCGGGGGCCGGCGGCGCCGCTCCGCTCGGGGGGCGCGGGCCCGGCTGGCGGGCGGCGGCGGCGGGCGGCGGAGCGGGCAGCCCGGGAGCCGAGGAGTGGGGCAGCCCCGCCGGGGAGCCGCCCGCCTCCCTGCCCAGCAGCACCTCCTCGGATGACTTCGGCAAGGGCAAGGCCGAGGACCGCTACTCGCTGGGAAGCAGCGTCGATAGCGGCATCCGCACCCCGCTCTGCAGGATCTGCTTCCAGGGTCCTGAGCAGGTGAGGCCGTACGCGGAGGTGGGTGGTGGGGTTGGATATTGGCTCGTCCGGAGCAAAAAGGAGATGGGAACGCTCTCCCTCAAGCGGAACGGCCCCCAGGGGAAGAGAAGATGGGGATGCTCACTCCTAACTTTGAACGGCCCCAGCCCAGTGGGCTCTAGAGATGGGCATGCTCTCCAGAATGGCCCCAGCCCAGGTACTGGGCAGGTGTGGGGGCCAGATGTTGCTCAGCTTAACCGCAGCAGTGGTTCTTCATGGAAATGTTGGGGCTGTGCCCCTTGCAGCCCAGGAGCCTTGGCTCCAGGTGCCCATCCCCAGGCTTACAGCCACGCAGGTGTGGCACAGCAGGGACTCACAGTCAGAGTGCATCTCAGCATGGAGGTCTCCACCCCCGAGAGGGTACTCAGTTGTGATGATGCCAAAGGGATGCGAAGGATGGGGATCTGTTGTGATGATCTCAGAAGGGTGCGTTTAATGTGCTGTTGGCTTTTAAGAATACAACTCGAGTCTGTAGGAACACGTGGTAGAAAGCAACCCCACCTCATCAGCTGTGCCCACAGCAAGAGCTCTGCAGCTTTACCAGAGCTTCCGTGCTCCCACTGCACTTGCTGGAGGGAAAAAAACTGCTGGCTCCAACTGTACCTGCTGAAGCAGCAGCCTTGAAATGCTCTGTGGTACAGACCGAGGTTGGGCCAATGAAGTTTCCTTCCATCAGATGGGAGAATTAAATAAATGCAACCCCACTATAACATGAGGTGCCACCCTTGGAGCATTATTCTCCCTCTTTAATGACAATTACAAGCAATTCACGTGTTTTCAAGCTGGGAACTTCCATGAAATAACATGCACAGCACAATTTGCACTTAATGTGATACAACTGCAGGCAGCAGGGAAGGCTTCAGATCTCTGCTTTTGTGATCAAACCCAAATCCAGGGTAGCTCAATAAGGGATCCTTGCACAAGCATGAGTCGAAGTTCAACTTAGCTGATACGCATTGCTATTTCAGGCAAAGATTGTGACACACAGGGCATATGTTAAAATCCTGAGCAAAGCAGGTTTTGCTCCATGTCTTCTTCCCTCTTTAAGGACCTGTGTGCTTTGCCAAGGAAAGCCATTGTTCACCTGAGAGCAGCCACATTCAGGAACACATCCTGCCAGTCCCAGGGCGTGATGCACTGTGCTGGGCAGTGATCGTGCCTACCACTGTGTCAGTGGTAGTGGTTCACAGAGGGGGCAGTGGGCTTGCATTTATCTTCGGGAGAAGCAGGGGCTACCATGGACTCATCTGAATGCCCTCATGTCCTCCCCATCAGAGCTAGGTGCTCAGTAGACTGTAGCCTTCTCTAACGCTTGTACAGCTGATTAATAGCCACGAGACACAGTTCTCACTGTAGGATTTTAGGTGAAGGTTGAGGTAATCATTGCTTTTTGGAGATGCTTTATGTCTTCCTCACTTGACTGTCTCATCCTTGTCTCTTCTAAAAGTTGGAAGCTGAGCAGCTCCCTGCCTGGGAATTTGCATTATTCCACGTTTCTAGTACTCTTCTCTGGCTTACAATTCCGCCTGTGTACAGGAGGCGTAGCGCCGCATGATCAGTGTGCGTGTGTGAGCAAATAGAGCCTAAGCAGAAGTAAAACAGAAGTAACCTGCTTCCTTGGCAAACATCAACGCTGCAAAATAATTGGATGCTAATTTTCATGCTTAAAGACTGTGTAGCTTGCACTGTAAAAGTGGGACTGTTTGCTGACCATCTGCCAGCCTACCTGAGTGAGAACCCAAGCAGATGTGACTGGCATTTAATAGAATTTCTCTTTTTCTCTTCTCACAGTTTCTGACCAATATAATAAGACACTTACAGCTGGATTCTGTCTGTCACTCCTCAGTAGTACCTTATTCTGCAAATAATTTCTTTTTCACCAGCATGTCTTGAAAGCCTTAGCCCAGCTAAGACTTAGCACTGGTGAGCACAAGTCAATGTGTGGGCCCAAGTCGGGAGTTGTAAGGCATGGTCATACCCTGACACAGCATTTACAAGTACGGTTTGGAATGACTGAGACCTGAATCAATGCACTGATGTCAAGACCTGCAGTTTGGTTTGTTTGGCCCTCACATCCATGAAACTCCAATGGTCCTAAATCATAGAACGGCTTATGTTGGAGGGGACCTTAAAGATGATCTAGTACCAAGCCCCTGCCATTGGCAGGGCTGCCAACCACTAAATACGCTGCCTGAATTCTACATTCTTACTCACTGAGGTGGTTGTTACTGATTTAGTATTTATTCCCCATTTGTTTTCCAGCTGAACAGCTGAGCAAAGCCTCTTTTTCAGACGCTTGCAGCAATAGATGCCATAAATGCACGTTATTCCCTACCACCCTTGCCAAGATCATCATGAAAATGTATCCAATTGGAAAGAAAATGCAATTGCAAGTTCTTTACTGAGCAGATTAATAACAATGGCAGAAATAAATTGTGTTTTATTTACCTGTCAGAAATATCTGAAATTGCTGCAGCTGCGGGCAAATTTGCAAGGCTGCATCACAGTACTAAGAACAAAAGCCTTCATTATAAATTGACTGTTAGGCGCTTTAAGCTTATTTACTCAGATAAAATGACACTGAGTCTCCAAAAGATGTTTAATCCTGTTTTGATTTTTTTATATATATATATGCAGCAGCCAAAAAGGTTTCTTACTAATCCGGCTTCGCAAGTGGGTTTTATTTAATATCTAATGCGAAGCAAAATCTGTAGGGATTTTCACTTTAAATTTGTGATTGCCCACTAAGCACAATACTGTGGGCTACTGAATTGCTTCTATCTTAAGCTCCTCATGTTTGTTTGTGGCTCCTATGAGTAAACTGATTCTTTCATTATAAATGTGCTGAGCACTGTAGGAAGGAGTAAAGCTCACTATTGTAGAGCCAATCCTTGCAGGTTATTCAGGGAAAAAAAGTAATGCAGACAAGAATGAAGGGACCTGGTGCCCAGGTGAGTACAGCACCTCCCACTTCGAGGGCATGGAGAGAGTGCAGCTTGGGTCTGGCAGTTGAAAGAGACAATTGAATATACTGAAGATTGGTTTAATGTCATGAAAGCCAGTGAGCTGGACTGTACACTTGGCAATGGCGTTGCCTTTCAGAGACTGACTTGGCATTTTCAAAGGTTTTACATCCTGCACCATTGTGTCAGCTAGTTCTGAAACTGCAGATTGAAAGGCAGAGCTTGAGAGAGAAAGTGAGAAAGAAAGATTCGGGAGTATTTTCTTCTGTTTTAGTTAATGCTTCATGTTTGCAGAATCTTGTCTGCTTTCCTGGATCTTTGGCAACGTTCTGCAAGAGAAAGAAACTAAAGCGAGCTCTGCTTTCACATATGTTTCATTGTGCTTGGTATGGATCCAAGTTGAAAGCAAGTAATGGTGAGTAGCAGGAAAGTACATGGATGAGAAGTCCCTCTGCATCTGCAGATACAGTGTTTGCTCATGTCACAAGGAGTTAGCAGTATGGTAGCATTTCAGATTTCTGAGCTGGTGCTTGCTGTGCTGAAAATAAATAGAAAAGCATTCTTAGATGAAACTGAGATCATTTAGAAATCAGCGTCTCAAGGATTGCTTGCAAGATTCTGTCAGAGTGTGCATACATCTTTTCCTACCTGTATTTCTTTCTGCCTGTGTTTCTCTGTTCTGAGGAAGAATTCTGTAAAGGCAGAGATTTTAATAGCATGGATAGGACTGGTTGGCTAAGGAGGATCAGAGGGAACATACTGTGACTTTTGCCAGCAGGCTGCTAGTTTGGACATAGCTGTGTACTCAGCGGAAAAGCTTGGGGAATAGATTTTTCTTCCCACTAAAGTCCCTTCCAGATTTTAAGGAGACCGGCTCATTAACATGTGAACATGGAGACCTTTAAGGAAACTGGAAGAGAAGACAACTTATAGCGGATAGCAGGACGTGTATTTCAACGTGATATGTCATAGGGCTGTGGAGCTCCCTTCTGCAGGACATTAGCAAGCCAAAGGACTTAACTACATTTAATACTGGTTGTAAAGCCGTGTGGATACCAAATCGTGTCTACAGTCATCAGAATTAATTAAAGATAATGCATTTGAAAGTACAGTACATTCTTCAGGTTTGATATCAGTCTTGAGATCAGAAAAACTGAAGAGGAGCAGATCCTAAGGCTGGTCTATAGCCCCAGGGCTCACAGCTCCTTGCACACAACCAGTAAGACATGCCTCTCCAATGCATGTTTAGATTTCATGCGCCTGTAAGGTAATGCAGGCACTTGCTGCCACAGTCAGAACCTGCCTGGAGCTAAGGTGGCCCTAAATGCATAGAGAACTCTCTCCTATGTATCAGAACAGCCCAACCTGGCAATTCCTGGCTCATTCTTGTTCCACAGTCTGGATGAATGCACCATTCTTGATGGTTCCATGTAGTAGCAATGCATGTTGAGTACCACTGAATGGATAGTCCTTAGCATGTGCCACTGGAAATAACAGGTGAGAATCTCAAACTTGCTCCTGTTACAAATACAGGCACACCCAGAAGCGCTCCTTAGCTTGCTGGTTCGTAGCACCTGAAGAGAAATCACAAATTATGCCAGAAAATATTGCTACTCTACAGACTGGTTTCTCCATAACACAGAGAAGTTCAGGAAATCACTGGGATGCTTGATTTTTGATTTACAGTGTTGTAAGACAAAGCAGAATTGGGTATCTCCTTTCTAGAGTAAGATGAAAAGGATAAGAGGTAGCTTGTGGCTGAATTAGAAGCATAAATGTGATAAGGAGCAACTACACAAGTATCATTACAAGCAAGTGGAAAGGCAGGGAAGCTCAAGAAAGGAGATGCAGGTGTTTGGTGAGATCTGTGTAAGCTGGCTAGAACATTAGCACATTGTTTTCGAACATGTTGAATCACATAATGGCAGTGCAGGCACCCCATCCGAGTACTTTTCATAGGTGTGTGTTCCCACACGATTTATTTATGTGGTCTTAGAA